TCGCCTCGGCCTCCCAAACTGCTGGGATTACAGGCATGAGCCACCACACCTGGCTGGTGATACACACTTTTAAATGACCAGATCTCATGAGAACTCACTGTTGCGACCAAGGGGGATGGTGTAACACCATGAGAAACTGCCCCCATAATCCAGTCACCTCCCATCTGGCCCTTCCTCCAACACTGGGGATTACAATTCGACTTGAGATTTGGTGGGGACACAGATCCAAGACATATTACATCCCTTCCTTGTTTCCATCTTAGAGGGGAAGCTTTCAGGCTTTTACCACTGAGTATCATATTAGCTGTTGTAGCCACTGAGATTCTTTATCAGGTTGAGGAAATTTTCTTCTTCCCAAGTTTACTGTATGGAACCAGATTTTCACCTTGGATCTGTCTTCCTTATTCCTAAAGTATGTCCTTCATTTCTTATACTGCACATCTGCTGGTGGTGAATTCTTCAGTTTTGTAAATTTGGAAAAATCTTTATTTTGTCTTTTTTCCTTTTTTATTCTGGAGACCAGAGTCTCACTCTGTCACTCAGGCTGGAGTGCAGTGGCCTGATCTTGGTTCACTACAACCTCCACCTCCCAGGGGTTCAAGCAATTCTGCCTCAGCCTCCCAAGTAGCTGGGATTACAGGCGTGTGCCACCATGCCTGGCTAATTTTTGTATTTTTAGTAGAGATGGGGTTTCGCCACGTTGGCCAGGCTGTTCTCAAACTCCTGACCTCAAGTGATCCGCCTGCTTCAGTCTCCCAAAGTGCTGGGATTCACTCTGATACACTAAGTTCACTCTAATACAGCGAATACGGCTGAACTGCTGGTTGGCCTTTGCCTCCTCCAGTGCATGTACTGAATATTGCTGACCAGCCTGCATGGCTCCAGAAGGGCTCCCCTCCCTTCTTCCTGCTGCAGCCTGATTGTGCCCCGTGAGTATTCTGAGCCCCTTTTCTGGTTTCAGGCCTGCGTCAGTGTAGGGTGACAGGAAGGGTCTCTGCTGCACTCTGCCTCAGGAAAAGCAGCATCTGTGGAGAATCTGAACTGAGGAGGAAGCCCTGCCCAGCATCCTGGGGGCTCCCAGGGATATCTGCTGCATGGAGACCACAGAAACCTGTGGTGGGCGGAGAGTTACAGTTTGGCTGTGTGTTAACCGCCCTCACATAGGCTCTACCAGCAGCCAAGGCGGTGTCTGGAGATGACTGTGTGTGTGCCTAGGGCACACAGGCACGGACACCGCCAGCCCTTTATGTTGTGATCAGGGCTGGCAGGAGGCTCTGACTACGGCTGTGGGAGGGGACGTATGCACTGTCCTCTTTCTGAGCGTTGCTCTGGTAGGAGTCCTGTCATCTGGGAGCAGTCATGGAAGAGGACCGCCCCCTCCTCCCAGGTACAAGCACAGGCTCCTCTGCACTCCGACTCGCTGTCCCCTCATCTGACCTCCCCAGAGCCCAGGCACTGCCTGCTAACCCCAGACCTTCTATGGTCCCCTTAGGACTCTTGCCCACCATTGGTCCTGCTGGCTGGCCCCGCCCAGGCTGGGCTTTCTCACAGGGGACCCAGCTGCCCTTCTGCCCCATGAGGAGTCACTGGCTCCCCCGGCCTCATCCCTTACTGCCGAGTGAGGGTTTGGTTCTTAGAGCCCCTTGTGTGTGAACATGTAAAGCTTGTGGCTGTGAGGTGTGTTTGGTAAGAACAGTGCACAGCTTTCACTAGATTCTCAGGAGGGCCAGTGGCCCCCTCTGTGTCAACAAGTTGAAGAGCCAGGGTCAGTCTGGCTGCCACTGAGGGCCAGGCTGCATCCTTGTGTGCCTGGGTGGCCTGACTGCAAGGAGAAGCCCTCGCTCAGTCCTGGACACACGGTGCGGATGATGTGGCGGGTCAGTCCCACAGGGCCGCCTCCTCTGTCTTAGGTTCTCAGCCTCAGCCGGTTCACGTTGAGGGCCAGAAGTTTCCTCACGGTGGGACCGTGCTGTGTGCTGCAGGATGGTTAGCGATCTCCAGGCCTTTCCCCACCGGATGCCAGGAGTGCTCCCACCCTTATCAGTTGTGACAACCAAAAATGCCTCCAGACATTGCCTGATGTCCCCTGTGGGCACAGTCTTCCGAAGTACAGAGCCACTGATCTACCTTATCTTAGAAAGAGACTATAGTCATTGCATTTCCATAGGAAAAAGTGTTCTGAGTTAGAAATAATGTACAAATAACTTTTTGCCTTGTGTCTTCTATACATCTTCTAATTATTATTTTACTAGATTACAGTCCCTCGTGCAAACTTTGCACACCTGGAAGAAGAGTTTACTAGTAAACAAAAGCACTTTTTTTTTTTTCTTTTGAGACAGAGTCTTACTCTGTCGCCAGGCTGGAGTGCAGTGGCGTGATCTCAGCTCACTGCAAGCTCCACCTCCCAGATTCAAGCAATTCTCCTGCCTCACCCTCCCGAGCAGCTGGGACTACAGGTGCACGCCACCACGCCCAGCTAATTTTTGTATTTTTAGCAGAGATGGGGTTTCACCATGTTGGCCAGATGGTCTCGATCTCTTGACCTCATGGATCCACCTGCCTCGGCCTCCCAAAGTGCTGGGATTACAGGCGTGAGCCACTGTGCCCGGCCAGGAAAAACACTTTTTAAAAAGATGCCTTTTTTCCCCTGTGGATATAAAAATACCACGTAGTAATTATAGAACATCTAGAAAGTACAAAAAAGTATAAAAAGGGAAAAAATCACTATAATCCACCTAACCCAGAGACCACCACCTGTGGGCATATTTTGAGTCTTTTTATTAAATCTTTCAAATTACATAATTTTGGATCTTGAATTTTTCCATTTAAAATCGAACATAAACAGTGTGTTTATCAAGCACTCTTTATAAACGGTTTTTCTGGCAGGCGTCGCTTCGTGCCTGCCTGGCTCGCCACACCTCGTGCTGGATGTGAGCTTGCACCGTTTTCACGTAAACACTGTCTACTGTGTCCCTGAGCATCAGGCATTAGGAGAGGCAGCTTCTGTAGTGGGTGGTATCTTTGCAGCTTTTTGAATGTTTCCCTTGAATTTCTATGTTGGTGATGATGGAAAAAACGTCAGGTCTGAGCCGTCCATAAAATGCATTTGTCTATCATACATGTCCTTCATTAAAAAACACGTGGCAGTTGGGGTCTACTGTCATGGTAGGAAGGTGGGAGCTGGACTGTCCTCCCAGCCAGGGTCAGGCCACACCTGGAGTGCCTCAGGTCCATTCTGTCCCCGTGTTTCCAGCCTGTCTCTGGAATGACTACTTCTGAAACAGATTCCCTTTACGTTTTTCTACCAGGCAGTGTGCACTGAGTCCTTCAGGACAGATTAAATGCTGAAAACCATCAATCAAGTGTTCAGTCTTCATGCAGGATCGAATCTGTGGAACTGATGTTTTAGCACTGGGGTTGACAGTGTCCAAGTTCCAGATTCAGGGGCAGGCTCTGGACCTGTCCACGGTATTGGCCTATAGTGAGGCCCATGGGCCTCAGAACCCGTGTGCTTGGAGCTGAATGATGGCTCCACCACTTCATAGCTTGGCCCGATGTGGGCGAAAGATTACCTAGGTGCTAAGGCAAGAGACTAAAGGCACAAACTGTTTCAGTATAATAAAGAAAATAGTTAGAATAAGAATAGTCATAATACAAATTAGATATAGAGATGATCATGGACATTATCAATCATTAGCGTAAACATTATTAATCATTAGCCTTTAATATCACTCTGTCGTATTACTAATATAACCTAGGAATAACCGGCGGGTATAAGGTCAGGTGCTGAAGGGACACTGTGAGAAGTGACCTAGAAGGCAAGAGGTGAGCCTTCTGTCACGCCCACATAAGGGCCGCTTGAGGGCTCGTTGGTCGAGCGGTAACACCAGTGTCTGGGAAGGCACCTGTTACTTAACAGACCGCAAAAGGGAGTCTGCTTTCCTTGGAGGAGTCAGGAAACACTCTGCTCCACCAGCTCCTTGTGGAAGGCTGGATATTATCCAGGCCTGCGCGCAGTCATCTGGAGGCCTAAACCCCTCCGTGTGGTGCTGTGCTTTAATGGTCACGCTCCTTGTCCGCTCCTCCCGTATTCCTGGTTTCTCTTTGAAGTTTGTAGTAGATAGCGGTAGAAGAAATAGTGAAAATCTTAAAGTCTTTGATCTTTCTTATAAGTGCATAGAAGAAAACGCTAACATACGCTGCTTTCTGTCTCTGCTTCGGCTAAAAGGGAAGGGCCTCCTGTCTTGTAATCACGTGACTTGCTTCACCTTATCAATCACTTAGAAGATCTACCCTCCTTACCCTGCCCCCCTTGTCTTGTATGCAATAAATATCAGTGCGCCTAGCTGTTCGGGGCCATTACCGGTCTCCGTATCTTGATGGTAGTTGTCCCCTGGGCCCAGCTGTTTTCTCTTTTCTCTTTGTCTTGTGTCTTTATTTATTACAATCTCTCGTCTCCGCACACAGGGAGAACACCTGCTAAGCCCCGTAGGGCTGGACCCTGCAGCCCAGGGAGCTCATTGCTCGCTGCCTCAGTGTCTCTCTGTGGAAATGGTCTATCAATAGGAGTGACCCCACGGCAAGACTGTGAAAACTAAATGAGATCATGTAAGGGGCGTAGAGAACTGACCTTCGTGATCCTGAGCCACCGTCTGCCGCCCGCTGGAGATGCCCTGCTGTGCTGTGCTTCTCGCCCTTCTCCTCCCTCCCATGCTCTTCCTTGCCAGCACTTTCAGCCCCTTGCGGTAGAGTTGGATTAAGCAGGTATTAATACTTCAGTTCAAGAAAAGTGTGAAGCAGGGGAGCTCGCCAAGCATCTCTCGCGGAGCAGATATTCTGATCTGAGCCTTTGTTGCCCTGGGTAGCAGTCTGGTGCCTGGGGTTTGCTAGGCCTGCATTGGCCCCTCCTGAGCCACCTTTCCAGACACCTGTGCAGGCTCTGAAAGGCGCCGGGCATGGAGCTCGCCTCACTCAACTCTAACTTTTCTGCGTTTGTTTAGGGAGCATTTCCTGAAGACGTGGCCATGCAGCGCATCAGCAGCTCCCAGAGCGGCCAGCACCACGTCCAATGGCCCAGGGCCTGCCCCGGCACGGGCGAGGAGCAGCCAGCATGCTCCCAGCCACCCCCGCCCCTCACGCTGCCATCCCCCAGCCACCAACCGCAGCAGCTGATGGTGAGAGGGGGCCCTGCGGGTGGGCAGAACATGCATGTTGCCCTGCAGGGCATGGGCCCTGGGCTCGAGGGAATCCCACAGGTCACACTGGCCCCACTGACGCTCCCCAGCCCCACCTCTCCAGGCTTCCAGTTTGGCACTCAGCCATGGCAGTTTGAGCACGGGTCTCCATCATACATTCAGGTCACGTCCCCACTGTCCCAGCAGGTCCAGACCCAGAGCCCCACACAGCCCGGCCCCGGGCCAGGGCAGGCCCTGCAGAATGTGCGTGCAGGTGCTCCTGGCCCTGGGCTGGGCCTCTGCAGCAGCAGCCCCACGGGGGGCTTCGTGGATGCCAGCGTGCTGGTGAGGCAGATCAGCTTGAGCCCATCCAGTGGCGGACACTTTGTGTTTCAGGATGGGCCAGGACTCACCCAGATCGCCCAGGGAGCCCAGGTTCAGCTCCAGCACCCGGGTACGCCCATCACAGTCCGAGAGCGGAGACCCTCCCAGCCCCACACACAGTCAGGGGGCACCATCCACCACTTGGGACCCCAGAGCCCTGCAGCCGCGGGTGGGGCTGGCCTGCAGCCCCTGGCCAGCCCAAGCCACATCACCACGGCTAACTTGCCACCACAGATCAGCAGCATCATCCAGGGCCAGCTGGTCCAGCAGCAGCAGGTGCTGCAGGGGCCGCCGCTGTCCCGGCCCCTGGGCTTCGAGAGGACGCCCGGCGTGCTGCTCCCCGGGGCTGGGGGCGCAGCGGGGTTTGGGATGACGTCCCCACCTCCGCCCACTAGCCCTTCCAGGACTGCCGTGCCCCCAGGCCTTTCCAGCCTCCCACTCACGTCTGTGGGGAACGTGGGAGTGAAGAAGGCTCCCAAGAAGTTAGAGGAGATTCCCCCAGCCTCTCCGGAGATGGCGCAGATGAGGAAGCAGTGCCTGGACTATCATTACCAGGAGATGCAGGCTCTGAAGGAGGTCTTCAAGGAGTATTTGATTGAACTGTTTTTCTTGCAACACTTTCAAGGGAACATGATGGATTTCTTAGCTTTCAAAGAGAGACTGTATGGACCATTACAAGCATATCTTAGGCAGAATGATTTGGACATTGAAGAGGAGGAGGAGGAGCACTTTGAAGTCATTAATGATGAGGTAACAGTTCTCTGTTTTGGTGCTTGTCATGGGAAGCACAGCTCAGGGCTTATGCTGCGTGCAGGTGCAATGCAGAGCTTACCATCTCAGAGCATGCGTTCTGAGCACTTCACTTTGTGAAGTGCAGTTCACTTTGTGAACACACTGTGGCCGTGAATAGTGGTTTAAAGTCTCTCACAGGCTCCCCACGTTTACAGAGGGTGGTTCTGGGGATCCTGGCATCTGGCTGAACCCCCGGCAGCCCCCCTCTCCGGTGGTGGTTCAGGCACCTCTGTGGCAGGTGCTCACGGGGACAGCATCCTGGCACCTTTCTTAGAATGTCACCACATTTGCCTGCTCCTAAACGGTTGTGCTGTGCAAGGTGAGAACCTCCAGAGTCCACCCTTGCCAGCCGCCTGCAGTCAGGGCTGGATGGGCTCAAAGCCAAGGTTCCAAGGTTCCTGAACACATCTCAATGTCAAGAGTTTCTGAACAAGTACAGCTCTAACTTAGACTCAGAATACACAGAGCAAAAGTGTATAGAATTTCATTTTCTTTCTTTCTTTCTTTTTTTTTTGTGTGTGTGTGACAAAGTCTCGCTCTGTCGCCCAGTCTGGAGTGCAGTGGTGCGATCTCAGCTCACTGCAACCTATGCCTCCCGGGTTCAAGCAATTCTCGTGCCTCAGCCTCCCGAATAGCTGGGATCACAGGCATGTGCCACCACGCTTGGCTGATGTTTTGTATTTTCAGTAGAGATGGGGTTTTACCATGTTGGCCAGGCTGGTCTTGAACTCCTGGCCTCAAGTGATCAGCCCACCTCGGCCTCCCAAAGTGCTGGGATTACAGGCGTGAGCCACCACGTGTGGCCTATCTATAGAGTTTCAAGGGAACAGTTTTTGTGTTTTGTGTGTGTGTGTGTGTTTTTTTTTTTTTGAGATGGAGTCTCACACTGTCACCCAGGCTGGAGTGCAGTGGCATGATCTCGGCTCACTGCAACTTCCACCTCCCTGGTTCAAGCAATTCTCCTACCTCAGCCTCCCAAGTAGCTGGGATTACAGGCATCCGCCACCATGCCCGGCTAATTTTTTGTATTTTTAGTAGAGACGGGGTTTTACTGTGTTGGCCAGGCTCATCTCGAACTCCTGACTTTGTGATCTATCCACCTTGGCCTCCTAGGGAGCAGTTTTTAAATCCACAATTGTATGAGGAATTACTAGCTTTTTTCTCGGAAGACAATAAATAAATAAAATAATTATAAGTATGTAGAATGTGAACTATTCAAATTAACAATACAAATTAGCCTGTTTAAGTGTATAACACACATGTATATGTATGTGTGTGTAAAAACTTTCAACAAAGAATAATTTTTTTAGAGTATACATGGAGACTATTTGTAAATTGACCCCCAAGGGGATCCTCAATAAAATTTATAAAATTAATTTCATATGAACTATCCTCTTCCTATAATGCAACAAAATCAGAAAGCAATTATTTTAAACATTTACTATGTTTGGAAACTAGGAAACTTGCCCATAAGGTATTCATAGGTTGAGGAGAATATCTTCATGGAAGTGTCTTAAAGCACACCACAGCTGAGGTACCACAGCCTACAGATCTTGTGGGATCAGCTGAAGGTCTCCTTAGAAAGGTCATTATGGCATTCAGTTAAGAAATACTGAAGATAAGCAGTCTAACAGCTTTGATAGTCACATGAAGAGTAAGTTAATCGTTGTATTAAAGTTCACTTCTAAATGGTAGAAATAAGTTTTTATAGAACCTGACTGGCATCTTAGGAATTTATGTTTATGATCATTTTATAGTAAAATATTGGAAGTGTACTAACATTTTGATTTCTCGTGACTATTTTCCTCTGTGTAATATCGCTCACATTCCAGCTGCTTGTTTTTTGTTTTTTTTTTTTTTGAGACGGAGTCTCACTCTGTCGCCCAGGCTAGAGTGCAGTGGCCGGATCTCAGCTCACTGCAAGCTCCGCCTCCCGGGTTCACGCCATTCTCCTGCCTCAGCCTCCCGAGTAGCTGGGACTACAGGCGCCCGCCACCACGCCCGGCTCATTTTTTGTGTTTTTAGTAGAGACGGGGTTTCACCGTGTTAGCCAGGATGGTCTCGATCTCCTGACCTCGTGATCCGCCCATCTCGGCCTCCCAAAGTGCTGGGATTACAGGCTTGAGCCACCACGCCCGGCCAGCTGCTTGTTGTGTATTTAGGTTGACTCTACTAACATGATCCCTGTTACCAAACTTCATTAGCACTATAAAATATTATTTAAACTAATTAGGTACATTTGCCTATGGGTTTTTTACTTGGGGAATTGGTGCAAGTGAAAAAATGCACTTTTAAAGCCTTTGAACAAATGATGTTTATATACATTTGAAACCTTAAAAATCATTAAGTTTTCAGGAAATTTTCAGAAGTATCTAGAAGTCAGTGTGTAAACTGACATTGATGTGTTAATGCCTTATTTTCATAACTTAGTGTTTTTAAAATTTTGCCTCTCAATATAGTAGAATCTTCCTGTTGACACCTTTGTGTGATGTATTTGTAGTCAATATATTAGAAATTGTAAGTATCAAGGGAGTGGTGCCTCCATATCGCTTTTGTTTATTTATTTATTTTTTATTTTTTTGAGACAGAGTTTCACTCTTGTTGCCCAGGCTGGAGTGCAATAGCGCAATCTTGGTTCACTGCAACCTCCCACTCCTGGGTTCAAGCAATTATCCTGCCTCAGCCTCCTGAGTAACTGGGATTACAGGCATGCGCCACCACGCCAGGCTAATTTTTGTATTTTTAGTACAGACGAGGTTTCATCATGTTGGCCAGGCTGGTCTCAAACTCCTGACCTCAGGTGATCCCCCTGCCTCAGCCTCCCAAAGTGCTGGGATTACAGACGTGAGCCACTGCACCCGGCCTCCATATCCCTTTTAACCTTTTCAATACTATTATTGAACTACTCCAGAATACTTAATTTCAGTGTTTTAAATTTGTATGAGAAGACTTGTATTTAAAAGACACCCTGCCTTCCAAGAAGGAGTGAACTCTACTAACGGCTTTTCTTTTCAGCTTTGGATGACTTGATCTCAAACATACCTTCAGGCAGGGCCACCACACTCAGGCACTGGTGTCCCTGGAGGATGCCCACAGCTCAGACTCTCCTTCAACTCCAAGCACTGCCGAACCCTTCCCCCACCCCCTGCCTACTGAAATGCCCAGATTCCCATTTTCACAACCAAGTTCTCTTCTTTTGGGTCAAGGTTATAGGCTTCAATACCTCCTACTAGAACTGAATTCCTTCCAAGGCTGATACCTGTGGCCAGTGTCAAGCAATTTTAGGCATGTTGTTCAGTGATTATATTGCAGGTTCCTGAAAGAGTAAGAAATGTTTGTGCACTTTCTGCAAGCATGCTTGATTACAGGATCAAGCTACCTGATTTCTTTTTTTTTTTTTTTGAGATGGAGTCTAGCTCTGTCACCCAGGCTAAAGTACAGTGGTGCGATCTTGGCTCACTGCAGCCTCCACTTCCTGGGTTCAAGCGATTCTCCTGCCTCAGCCCCCTGAGTAGCTGGGATTACAGGTGTGCAACACCACGCCCAGCTAATTTTTGTATTTTTAGTAGAGACGAGGTTTCACCATGTTGGTCAGGCTGTTCTCGAACTCCTGACCTCATGATCTACCTGCCTCGGCCTCCCAAAGCGTTGAGATTATAGGCGTGAGCCACCATGCCTGGCCACTATTTGATTTCTTTAAAACATTTAATTGTGGGCCGGGCACGGTGGCTCACACCTGCAATCCCAGCACTTTGGGAGGCCGAGGCGGGCGGATCACGAGGTCAGGAGATCGAGACCATCCTGGCTAACATGGTGAAACCCCGTCTTTACTGAAAATACAAAAAATTAGCCAGGCGCGGTGGCGGGCGCCTGTAGTCCCTGCTACTCGGGAGACTGAGGCAGGAGAATGGCGTGAACTATGGAGGTGGAGCTTGCAGTGAGCCAAGATCGTGCCACTGCACTCCAGCCTGGGCGACAGAGCGGGACTCTGTCTCAAAAAAAAAAAAAAAAACAAAAAACAAACAAACAAAAAAACTCACTTAATTGTGGTAACTTATACAAAACATAAGATTTACTGTCTATCTGATTTATTTAAAGTGTTAATTTATTCCAGGGTACTGATAAACATTAAGGTTTGGTTTTGATTATTTATGATGATATATGCTTGTTTATATTTAGCCTTCTGGACATATTTAGCCAGAAGAACCAGTTTCTTTTTCTTTTCCTTTTTTTTTTTTAGACCTGTCAGCCAGAAGTAAGAACCAGTTTCTGTTTTCTTGTATTTATCTCTGTGATTTTAAGCTGTAAAGTGCCGTTTGACTTTGAGTTCATTTAATTTCAAGGGTATTCCCATTTGAATACCCTGGATGTGAAGCAGTTAATGTCTCTGGAAAGATTCTTTGGTTTACTTACTCCTAAGAAGCTGTCATTATGGAGATGCGGATTAATTTGTCTTTCTGTTTTATCAGATCAAAGTGTGTTTTTAAGAAATGACACATTTTCAGTGGGAGTGTTTTTTGTCATTCTTCCTCATGCCCCACCATGGCCTCCGCAGCCCCTGCCGTGAGGGGTGGGCTGCCCTCTGACACTGCCACTGGGCTCCTGCGTGAAGCTGTGTGGACACGGCCTGTGCAGCCTGACCGTGGCTACCTGCTGGCCACAGATTGAGGTTTAAACTGGACTTCAAACAAAGCTTCAGTGCCTAGGGCCAGATTTGTTCTTTCCAGCCCCGTGAGGCCTTAAATTGCAATCAGCGAGCCAAGTTGTCCCCGTGCCCCTCTATTAGTGGCTGAGGCCGCCAGCTGCGTGGGATGTGCTGGTGGTGATCAACTTTGCAAAGTTTAAACATTATTTTCCCTTCTTCCTCTCTTCTCTTTGAATGTTCCCTCTCAGGTAAAGGTTGTGGCCAGAAAGCACGGGCAGCCTGGGACTCCTGTTGCCATAGCAACCCAGCTTCCCCCGAGGACTTCCGCGGCTTTTCCAGCCCAGCAGCAGCCGCTCCAGGTACTTTCTGATGGCTCCACAATGCAGCTCCCCAGACTTTCCTCACTCGGATTTGAGGACTCGATGTTCTGAGGCAGGACCCAGAGGTCTCCCAAGAGCCTGTCCTCTGTTGTTCAAAATACATCTTGAGACGTCTTTGTGAAGGCTCTTAGTTTTAATGCATGAATGCTGTTATTTTTCCCTACTATTACTGAAATTAAAGTGTTTGTCTCTGATCATTAGTTCTGTTAACTTTTCTGCTGGAATGTTTTTCATTTGCATTTGCTTTTCTGATATATTTGCATTTTTCATTGCTTCTGTACGATTGTGGCCTCTTTGGATGTTTCTCTTTTTGCCCCTTTGTCTGCTTTTAAACAAACAGATTTCCTAAATTATTTTCTTGCTACAGGGAGTTGATTTTGTTCTTTAAACATATTCTAGGGGATGAGTCTCAAAAACCAATGATTTTAGATTTCAGAATACAAGGAAGTTCCTGGAAACTGCAGCTCAGTTATTACATTTCTTTCCTTTCTTTTTTCTTTTTTTTTTTTTTTTTTGAGATGGAGTCCTGCTTTATTGCCCAGGCTATAGTGCAGTGGCACAATCTCAGCTCATTGCAACCTCTGACTCCTGGGTTCAAGCATTTCTCCTCCCTCAGCCTCCCGAGTAGCTGGGATTACAGGCACGTGCCACCACGCCCGGCTAATTTTTTGTATTTAGTAGTGATGGGGTTTCACCATGTTGGCCAGGCTGGTCTCGAACTCCTGACCTCAGGTTATCCCCCGCCTCAGCCTCCCAAAGTGCTGGGATTATAGGTGTGAGCCACTGCACCCAGTCAACATTTCTATATACTTAAAAACATGTTCTAAAAATGATGTTAAAATATCCATAACAGTTCCCATTTTACCCATTTTTAAGTGTACAGTTCCATGGCATGAAGCATGTTCACATTGTTGTGTGGCCATCACAGCATCCATCTCCAGAACATTTTCATCTTCTCAGACGGAAACTCTGCCCCTGTGAAATGCTAACTCCCCATTCCCCTCCCCCAGCCCCTGGCACCCACCACTGTACTGTCTGTCTCTGCGGATTGGAATGCACTTCTCAAGCCACCTAAGTAAGTTGAATCATACAGTATTTGTCCTTTTCTGTCTGTTGTACTCAGCATCGTGTCTTGAGAGTTCACCCATGCTGTAGCCTGTAACAGAATTCCTTCCTTTGGAAGGCTGAACCACGCTACATGGGATGGGTAGACTGTGGGTGTGGAAGGCTGAACCACGCTCCATGGGATGGGTAGACTGTGGGTGTGGAAGGCTGAACCATGCTCCGTGGGATGGGTAGACTGTGGGTGTGGAAGGTTGAATCATGCTCCATGGGATGGGCAGACTGTGGGTGTGGAAGGTTGAATCACGCTCCGTGGGATGGGCAGACTGTGGTGTGGAAGGGTGTGGGAAGGTTGAATCACGCTCTCCGTGGGATGGGCAGACTGTGGTGTGGGCACAAACTACGCTCCGTGGATGGGCAGACTGTGGTGTGGAAGGTTGAATCACGCCCGTGGGGGATGGGCAGACTGTGGTGTGGAAGGTTGAATCACGCTCCATGGGATGGACAGACTGTGTGAAGGTTGAATCACGCTCCGTGGGATGGGCAGACTGTGGTGTGGAAGGTTGAATCACGCTCCGTGGGATGGGCAGACTGTGGTGTGGAAGGTTGAATCACGCTCCGTGGGATGGGCAGACTGTGGTGTGGAAGGGTAAATCATGCTCCGTGGGATGGGCAGACTGTGGTGTGGAAGGTTGAATCATGCTCTGTGGGTGGGTAGACTCTGCAGGTGTGGAAGGCTGAATCACACTCTGTGGGTGGGTAGACTACAGGTGTGGAAGGCTGCATCATGCTCCGTGGGATGGACAGACTGCAGGTGTGGAAGGCTGAATCATGCTCCGTGGGATGGGTAGACTCTGCGGGTGTCGATCCACCTCTTGGTGGACGCTTGGGTTGCTTCCACATTTCAGCTATTGTGAACGGTGCTGCCGTGAATATGGGCGTACAGATACCTCTTCAAGTTCCTGCTTTCAGTTCTCTTGGGCATATACCCAGAGTGGAATTGGTGGGTCATGCAGTAACTCTGTGTTTAACGTTTAGGAAAGTCCACACCATTTTCATAATAGCTGCACCATTTCACATCCCACCAGCAAGAGCGAGGGTTTTCTTTCTCCACATCCTTGCCAACGCTTGTACAATTTTTTATAGTGGCCACTCTAATAGGTGTGCTATATGCTTTATAATGTAATAGAAAAATATTACTGAATATGCATGTACATATGGCTAAAGACATTCAGAGTTGGCCAGGCGCGATGGCTCACACCTGTAATCCCAGCACTTTGGGAGGCCGAGGCGGGCAGATCACCTGATGGCAGGAGTTTGAGATCAGCCTGGCCAACATGGTGAAACCCCGTCTCTACTAAAAAAGGAAAAATTAGCCGGGCCTGGTGGCGGGCACCTGTAATCCCAGCTAGTTGGGAGGCTGAGGCAAGAGAATCACTTGAACCCAGGAGGCGGAGGTGGCAGTGAGCCAAGACTGCGCCACTGCACTCCAGACATCTCAAAAAAAAAAAAAAAAAAAAAAGACATTTAGAGTTTTAATCTGTTCATCAGCTGGCACTGTTGGTGGTTCAAAATCGACTAGTGAAGGAGGCAGCCTTTGAAAAAACAACTTTAACTCAGAGTAACAAATGGCATTGGTGACATATGTGGAATCCCATGGGAAGAGTATGGAGGGATGGATGGGCTCCTGGGAGCGGGATGCAGGCTGTGGGGTGGCCCAGTGTGCTGCACCTGTGGCCGGCAGGGCTGGCACCTCTGGCCTGGTCCCAGCAAGTGCAAGCACCCACACAGAACACAGGGCTGCTCTACCCTACTCTTCTCATGTCATGTTCTTAATGTTGAGAACACAGGTTGAGTTCAGTGTGATTCTCCAAACAAACTGGCTGTGGGCAGTGTCAGTTTTCTTTTCTACAACTTCTTTATTTATTTATTCTTTTGAGACAGAGTCTCCCTCTGTCAGCCAGGCTGCAGTGTAGTGGCGTGATCTTGGCTCACTGCAACCTCCACCTCCCGGGTTCAAGCGATTCTCATGTCTCAGCCTCCCGAGTAGCTGGGATTATAGGTACATACCACCATGCCTGGCTAATTTTTGTATTTTTAGCAGAGCGGGGGGGTTTCACCATGTTGGCCAGGCTAGTCTCGAACTCCTGACCTCAAGTGATCCTCCTGTCTCAGCCTCCAAAGTGCTGGGATTACAGGCGTGAGCCACCACGCCTGGCTCTTTTCTCCAATTTCATATTGTGAAAAATTTCAATTATTGAAAATGTTGAAAGAGCAGTACAGTGAATGGTAAACTCACCAGTTGTTAATATTTTGTCGCATGTATGTGTTCTACCTATCTGTCTATCTCCACACATTTTAAAGTTGTCAGTCATGATTGTTTACCCCTGGATCCTTTGTTGTGTATCTCCCAACAAGAAAACGTCCCATGTGACCACAGCCCTCCTATCACGATTGCCGGCATCCACACCTCTCAAGGCATGTTCCTGCCTCGGTTTGCTTTTCTTTCTCTCACAACACTGATGTTTTGAAGCGCCCAGATCAGTTGCTGTGCAGAGGCTACCACAGCCTGGGTGTTCCGTTTCTCACTGCTCGACGTAGACTGAACATTTCTGGCAAGAATACAATGGAGGCGGAGCTCTGCACGCATTTGCTTCTCCACCAAGCTGTGCAGGCCGGTTAGGGAGATGCAGCTGCAGGTGGGCTGGGTGCTGTGCGTGCCAGGGGAGGTTGCCCTCCGAGCACACTCTGGACAGAGGCACTCTCTGTCACGTGCTCAGCTTGGCCCCAGACTGAGGCTTAGCAGTCCTCCAGTTGTTCATCCTACGAAGAGCAGGAGGGGATAAACAACTGGATGACTGCCAAGGAGAGGCCAGCAGTAGGGAGTGGAAACCAAAAACTGAGCTTTTACACAAGACCACATGTGCAGCGCCCCACACAGGGCTGAAACCCCTGTGCCGGCACCCCTGGAGAGCAGCCCTGGGGCTGGGCCTGCCCTTGTTCACTAAGAGGATGAACCTGGCTGTCTGCCTGACTCAGCCTCGTATCTCCATGATGTGTTAACATATTGGCTCAAAAAAACAAATTTCCTTTAACACCTTAAATGAGGTAAAGAAACAAAAGTGGGCCAGGTGCAGTGGCCCATGCCTATAATCCCAGCACTTTGGGAGGCTGGGGCGGGTGGATTGTTTGAAGTCAAGAGTTCAAGACCAGCCTGACCAACATGGTGAAACCCCGTCTCTACTAAAAATACAAAAATGGCAGATGCCTGTAATCCAAGTTACTCAGGAAGCTGAAGCAGGAGAATGGCTTGAACCTGGGAGGCGGAGGTTGCAGTGAGCCGAGATCACGCCACCACACTCCAGCCTGGGTGACAGAGCGAGACTCTTGTCTCAAAAAAAAAAAGAAAAGTGTTTTTTGTTGTTGTTGTTTTTTGTTTTGTTTTTTAAACAGGGTCTTGCTCTGTCACCCAGGCTGGAATGCAGTAGTGTGATCTTGGCTCACTGCAACCTCCATCTCCTGGGCTCAAGTAGTCCTTCCACCTCAGCCTCCCTAGTAGCTGTGACTATAGGCGCCACCATGCTCAGCTAATTTTAAAAATTTTTAGTTGAGATGGGGTCTCACTATGTTACCCAGGCTAGTCTAGAACTCCTGGGCTCAAGCGATTCTCCCACCTCAGCCTCCCAACTAGCTGGGGTTACAGCTGTGAGCCACCATGCCCAGTTAAATTTTCAGCTTTTTATTAAAGTTAATGTTGTCCAGCTTGGTTGTTTGTTTAAGCATCTTTTCCCGCCTTTTTTGGTATTTCTGAAACTCAGCTTGCTGCAGCATTCTGACAGTCTTTGAAGTAATAGTGCACACTGGTTTTAATTGTGAACCTGTCTCAATCTCCATTCTTTTTTTTTTTTTTTTTGAGA